TCGCCGGATCGTTTTAGCGTATCGCCCGCGACGTAGAAGGAGACGGCCGGAAATCTGCGAACGTTCCCCGATTCTCGGGTTGCGTATTCGCTTTCGCGGGAACGAATTTTTCACGAATACCTTTTCGCGTGAACAAAAGCCGCGAGATCCGAATTGAAATTTCGTCTACGATTTTTCCCAGCCGATTCTACGACACTCTGGCTCCGGTCGCCGGTACCGTGTTCTCTCATTTCGTGCACAAACTGCGCGCTTCACGTTCTAATCCCGCCGTCTCCCTCGAAGAAAAAAAAGAAAACGTAAATCGACACTTTTTCTCTACAGTCGCGTTCGCAACGATATCTGCCCTAGCCTATGCTACCCTCGTTAATCGCCCTGATACTCGCCGCGAGTAGAGCCGCGTTTATACTTTAGAAACGAATTTCGATATCGCGAATTTCCCTAATACCCCCCCTACCGATAACCAATCCACGGATCTCGTCCGAACACCGATAATGTTTCAAATCACAGAACGTTGTCCAATTAATTCTTACGAGAATATTCTTGCTTGCCCGCAAAAATAGAGAAGCGTCCCTTTTAGAAAACCTGTTCCCTCTTCTTTTTCATTTTTCTTTTCCTTTCTTTTTTGCCCCTCGATGCCAATCGTTCCCCGTCGTCGTTCCGTCAGACGCCGGGGAAAAGGAGGTCCGAATACTGCTAGCCGAAAACGGAACGTTTCGGGCTCGTTAATCGAAATCGCTGTGGCAGACACGTTGACGCGACTGTGTCACTGGGAAATCATTATACGGCAGCCTCGTTAATTACGCCGTTAGCGCCGATCGTCCCAATTGTCGCGATTCAATCGTCCCGTTCTGAGCGAACGCGGACGAGACTCGTAGCTCTCGCGTATCTAATTTGAGCAGGAGCCGAGGCTGTCGTCGTCGAGTCAGAAATTTCCTCTTTCACCCCCTCAACCTCGCGAATCAATCCTATGCGACAAGTCCGCGATTATTACTTTTGATTATCGTCTCGGTGTATAGCTCGAAATCTTATTGTGCGTTGAATCGTCGAATCGAGAGTAACGAAAAATTTATTCCATTTTTCCCCCCTACTTTTTATCCGTTTATTTTTCCTTTTTTTTCCCCCTTTTTTCTTCTTTTCGTCTTCGTCCGGGACGAAGCGCGCGCACGCGCGCGCGCGTGTGTGTGTGTGTGTGTGTGTGTGTTCGAAAGAGCGAAAACGAGGTTTTCGCGCGCGAAAAGGTCTCTCCGACGGGAGATTTGTCCGGGAACTTTTTGCACGGTGATCGCGAGGATCGCGAAAAATCGAGGTGACAACGTGGCGGCCGATCTCGCGGACGCGGTTCTAATCTCGCCGCTGCTCCTCTCGTTCCCCTAGGTTGTAAAAGCCGCGGAATGTAACCCGCGCGAACCGCACAGGGGGGGTGTATCGACGACGACGGATATCGACTCCTGGTTTTAGAGAACGCGTGCAGAACGTCGCGACGTATACTTTTTTTTCGTAACTGTAATTGAATTAACGACAATCATAATTTACGCACGTTTTACAATCATCCGCACGATAAATATCCATTTTTCACATCTAACGATAAATCTTTCGTAAAGGGTATATCGGGAGTCCCTTTTATCTAGAGAAACGGGGCGGCGGGGGGGGAAAACGGGGAAAGGGAGGACGGGGCGAAGAGAAGGGGGTGAAGAGGAAGAGGAAGCAGGAAAAGAAGGCGATAGTTGGAACGAGTGTAAGATATATCCTTCCCCTTTCTTTTGGTGTAGTGCCTGGCGAATGTTTAGAAAAAGGTATCCTTTTTTTTCTTTCGAGGTATCGTGTAGGTAAGATCACACCGAACAATTTACACTTTGACGCGAAGCGGGTAGTCGGCTGGTGAGTGATTAAAAAGGGGGTGAGTTAGTGGGTAGAGGGTAGAAGGAAGGTTTTAATTTACGTTTACACACAATCATGATTAGTGCTTGCTTTTCGCTTGTGTTTTCTGCTGTTCAGCTTCGTATTTTTTTTTTTTCTTTTTTTTTCGTTAACCCTAAGGAGACCTTAACGTTTACACTCAATAACTTGATTTTTTTTTTTTTTTTTTTTTCTTTTTTTTTCGTTAACCCTAAGGAGACCTTAACGTTTACACTCAATAACTTGATTTTTTTTTTTTTTTTTTTTTCTTTTTTTTTCGTTAACCCTAAGGAGACCTTAACGTTTACACTCAATAACTTGATTTTTTTTTTTTTTTTTTTATTCCGACGCGCTTCTCTGCGTGGGTGCGTTTCACCCTCCCTTCCCTTTAGAGTTACTCCTTAATTCACGGTTTTTTTGCTTTAAGTTTAGGGTAAATTTTAAGTTTAGTTCCAAAAAACACCGAGAGAGTAGCCTTGCTTACACGATTTACTTTTTTTTTTTTTTCGTAAGGTATAATTTTTTTTGCGTTAGTAAGGAATTTTTGCTTTTTTTAAAACACCGAACATACATGCCTTATACTTTATGTACAGCCTAGAGTCTTTCAGTCGTTACTTTACTTAAAGAGAGTCATGAGATGAGTGCGTGAATTATCCTTTCGTTTCCTCTGTCCTCGTCCTTTTAGAATCAGAACTGTGAATCCTCCTCGACACGCGAGAAAGACGGAAAATCGTGGCCCGCGGTGTACCTACGCGCCGAACGTCACGCTATTTTCCTCGCGTGGTTCGTATCTACGCGTGTTTGGCTAACGAGTCGTTCTGCTTCGAATTCGCTGCTTTCATTGATTTCGTCTTGGTCCAACGTCCTGCTCGGCTACTACAACTAGCGAAACGACGAAATCACCACTTTTTTGCTTTTTTCTTTTTCAACGTGTTCATCTATATAGTCAAGGATCTCCTGTCGAACGGAATTCTAATCTGAAATACGAGAAGATACCTCGATAGTCGCGCGCACGACGCTTATGGATAACCTGCGAAAAAATTAGTCAAAAGAGGAGGGACTGGCGTTCTTCGTGTCGTCGCTCACCGCAACCGAAACGATCGCGACAATGATTAATACACACTTTCCTACTACTCAACGATGCGACTGATCCTTGCAAATTAGACAACTCTCTAAAATTTGCTAACGTTGTCGTCGTGGTCGGTCGTGGTCGGTCGTGGTCGTCGTGGTCGTCGTCGTCGAAACGATCGATAAAAGCTTTAAAAATTCGTTTAATCCCTGAAAAAAGTACCAGTGAACCGTAGCGCAACGTACTTGTTCAATTGAAATTTCTAAATTCCCTTAAAAATCATACCGGCCGATTCATTTTTTGTCGCGCACAAATTTCATCTAATTTTCCTACGTTTTCTTCCACGCTAGAAGGAAAACACCATCGAGATACAGTCGTGAGTTCGTAGAAAAAGTCAGACAGGAAGAAACTAATGTTCGATCATTCGAAACGTTGTACACGTTTCTCCTCTTCTCCTCTACCTTTATTTCCCCCCCGAAATTTGTCGTACGCCGTTTCGATTATCAATCATGCAAATGGACCTTCCAGAAGAGATAGAACAAAACCGATTCTTCTAGAAGCGACTGGATGTTTTCCTCGTGAAGAAATTCTACGAACGCCGCCATTGCAGCTGTGCTTGTCTTTCTCTACGCGATAGAAAATTTGCATTCGTATCAAAATGTGGGCGTTGCCGCGCGTAAGAAAAAATTTTGCACCTCGGTAGAAAGAAGAACCGAGTGAAGAGCAAGCGCGCGCCTATACACGTAGCAAACCTCTTTTTCATAGAAATGCCTTATATACATCTACGCGCTTCCCTTTTTAACGTTTCCTCTTTTTCCTCCTACGTTTCTCCATTTTTATTCCGTTGGAGCAGAACGATTTTCGCCGATGATGGGATCGAGTCCGCGGAGACTCGATCATTTTCTTCCTACTTTTCTTTTCATCCTTTTCTCCTTTTTTTTTTTTTCATATTTTTTACTAATTTTTTTCCTCGTCATTTCTCCGGCACAATTTTCCCCAAGGTTTCGCGACTTAACGCGTACTAACATCCCCGTTGATATCTCGAATTGGCTAAGAACCATCGAACACGTTTCCTCATCGATGAAGACCGTCCCTTACTTTTCGTCTAAACAGCTTATTCCCCTGCCACCCTTCCATTCTTTATCCCTCTTTTTCGAGCGACCCGTTTGAGAGGGGGGACGCGTTTCTACCGAACGCCAGCCTCGAAATAACCGAGATTAGAGAAATATTGTCGCCTTATGAAAAAACGTCATCTATACGCGCGCCAACAAAAGTCTTGGCTCGTTCTCGTTTCGCATACGTTCGTAATGACCAAAAATATATGTATATATATATATATATAATATATCATTCCTTATATAATTATGTTGCTCCTTACGAGTTAAGTAATGTTAGTAGTAGGTAATAAATTTGCATTAGGTAGTTTTACATCGATAGAGGAAAAAATACGTTGTTGCGTCGGCATTTTTGTTCGTGTTCTCCTCTCGCGCGTTCAAAAGTCTATCGGCCAACGGTTTTCGCGCGCGTTGTCGGCCGGACAACCCTGCAGAATTTCATCGCGCGCTCCTACCCAACGCGTATTTTTCCTACGGACGCGTGCACGCGCGGGACTGTTTACGTGCTGCTGCTGCCGCCGCCGCTGCTGCTGCCGCTGCCGCCGCTGCTGCTGCTGCTGCCGCTATTGCTGCTGCTATTGCTGCTGCTGCTGCTGCTGCTGCTGCTGCTGCTGCCGCCGCTGCTGCCGCTGCTGCTGCTGCTGCTGCTGCTACTACTCGTCTGTTCCCCGTTTTGTATTTACGTCGGGATATCGCATAGATCACCCTGCGTACGGCACACCGTACACCGGTCCTTTTGCGTACCCGACGACGGTGTCAGAGGCGTCCATGTACGTACGTGTGAGAGTGTATTACCGAGCGAATGTACAACTATCTGCGTGTCTCTGTGAATTGGCATGTGTGTGACCAAGTGTGTGTTCGTGTATGCATTCGGTACAATAACATTGCATCGTGTCTTGTATTCGTTTCTTGCGTTTTCTCCGAATCGAAATATCGCCATAGTCGAAAAGGTTCCGGTACGACCTACCGTCAGCTGGACGGAGATCGAGTGTGCCGGATACATATGCGTGGTGTAACTGATGGAATCGCAGTGGGTTCACGGATGGTTGGGTAGCATTTACGCATTTTCGTTACTCGTTTTTCCGTTTCCTTTTGTTTCCTCTATTGAACTTGCCTCGCGACGTTCAAGGGGCTTCCGGGGTGGAAAGGGCAGGGTCAGGCTGGGGCTACTACCGTTTCGTGCCACGTTTCGTGCCACGTTTCGCGTTTTCGAAACGTCCCTCGTCCTATACACGCGCGCACACACACACCAACGGAGGAGGTGCTCGGCTTTCACGCACTTCTCCTCGGAAACCGTCGCGTTCGCTTTCATAGCCGACGCGCGACGGAGTCGTGCACGATTTCCGGTTCTTTGTCGGTTGCGTTGGCCGATGGCTGAGGCCGATCGCGAGAGACAAGAGGGACAATTATCCGGTATATACCGAGTGCGAACCGAAGGAGAGAGAAAGAGAGAGAAAGTGGAGGCCGAGGATCCTCGACCGTGGCAACGTGGTGTGTAAAATGCCGGAGCATTGGGCGGGAATGGGCTTTACCGTGTACACGGATCGCTCGCCATATTATATCGTTACTCTATACTTTACTGATCAACGATACCGACTTTTTCCTACTGCTCAACGGAGTCTTCCATACTGATCACGGGTCCACGTTGCTCCGTCGATTGCTGGCTGTTGGCCTGCTCGCCGGACCTGTTGTTTCCGGTATTGTAGCCCCGTTGCAGTTGTACAACCAGGCCGCTCACTGCACCGTACTCCTTTTGCTGCTGCTGTGGCTGCTGTGGCTGCTGCTGCGGCTGTTGCTGCGGCTGTTGCTGCGGCTGTGGTTGTTGCTGCTGCTGCTGCGACTGTTGAGGTTGCTGCTGCTGCTGCTGCTGCTGCGGTTGTTGTTGCGGCTGCTGCTGCTGCTGCTGCTGCTGCTGTTGCTGCTGTTGTTGTTGCTGCTGCTGCTGTTGTTGTTGTTGAGTCTTCTGGCTCGAATGATCTACTATAAGCTTACTATCACAGGCACTTTTTTTGTCAGTTGATACGGCGTAGAGATTGTGTAAGTCCGGGTAGTGATTCAACTGCTGCTGTTGCTGCGGCTGTTGAATGGTCAGAGTCTTTCTGTCACGATCCTCCTGTCCACCGTTGTGAACGTCGCTCTCCCTGCTGCTACGATCGATCCTCGAGTCTCGGGTACTGTCCTCGTCTCTACTTCCGGCTCTCGAGATCGAGAGAGGCGTCGGTGGTGACGTGAGTCGATCGCTGCCGTCGTCGTTGCGACCTCGCTCCGACGGCGATGGACTTAGATCGACGGTGGGCACGCGTTCCGGCCTTTCCGGAATCGGCCTCCCGGATCCCGATGGTCCCCTGTAGCTCTCGTCCTCGCTACTGTCCTGAGCCAACCTCGGTACCGGCGTTCTCCTCGAGTTTCTGCACAGTTGGTCGATCAACGCTTTGCTCCTCATCGATTCCGGGAGCGGTTGCTGCGAGGAAGATTGTTGCTGACTCCTCGTGTCGGTCATTGCCCTCTGGTCCCTTGGAATTCCCGTCTCGAGGCTCGACCTGATCAAATTGTCCAAGAAACTGCCGTTCGCTCCTGAACCGTCGTACAAGCTCTCCGACACCTCCCGCGGCGCTTTGCTCATCGGCGTGCTACGAGAACTCGAGGTTCCCGGCGATTCCGCAGTGGCCGCCGCTGCAACACCGATTCCGTCTCTATCCCGTTGCGGGTGCTGTGGCTGCTGCTGTTGCTGTTGCACCATGGCGGCGTTCCTTTGCTGTTCCTGCAGGCCGCGTATCCTGCTGGTAGCGAAATACTGCTCCGGCAGGATGGTCGGCACGTTCGGCGCCCCTGCCATGAACGGCGATGGCATGAACGGCGGCGGACTCCAAAAATTGAACGGCGCGAACGGTAAGTGAGGCATGCCCTCCATGAACGGTGGCATCTTGATTCCGTTCGGTCCTGGTATACCGCCCGGTGACGTGAACGGTTTCTGCGGTTTCAATTGCGGCTTCTTGTCCGTCGTACCAGGTCGTATACTCGCGGTGGCTGCCGCCGCTGCTGCCGCGGCCGATGTCTCCTTCGTCTTATCGTCCGACTGTTTCTGGTCCCTGCAAAAGCGAACGGAAAGAGTCGGTAAAGCGAAGAGTAGGTAGCGCGCGATACGCGATAACCACCTACCTCTTTCTCGGCCTCATCAGGTGTCGTTCCTTAACTTTGTACTCAAGGGTGGAGTGCGGTACTCCGTAATAGCTGCCTGCACGATGGACGCTCATTTCACCCCGTTGAACCGCGCGTACAGCCTCGACCAGACTATCCCTATCGTAGTTCCTATACTTGCCCCGTTTCGGTCTAGTTCCTTTGCCACCGGTTGCCGGTTTCGGTTTGTTCGCCTCCTGGGTGGTCTGCGGTTTCGCCTGCGATTGGCCTTGCTGCGACGCAGGCTGAGGCGGCGTGTATCTACCTCTCTTGAACGGACTCGGGTCCGTCATTATCGTCTGCTGCGACTGTACCACACCGGCCGATTGACAGCCGGGCATTCCAGGCGTTGCCACCGCTTGGCCCTCTTGGAATTTTACGCTGATGCTTTTGGCGATCACGTCGCGGAAATTAACGGCCACCGTTTTCCCCACCAACGAATTGGTCGGACTACTGGTGCCGGAGAACGCCGGACTCGCTCGTTCCAGAAGGCCCGGACTCGAGGCCGCGGTCGCGGCCGCGAATCCTTGCGCGAAAGCGGCTGACGTTGGTTCGCCGTTCTTGCTCGAACAACCGGGCGTGCTCGCGGGCTTGTAGGACGGAATCTTGAGAATCGCTCTCCCTTGAGCACTGTCGCTCGCTTCCTCCTCGATGTTGGGATTGAAGTCGTCGTTCGTCATCGGGCCGCGTTGCTGTTGCTGTTGCGTCTGCGACTGTGCCTGGGCTTGCGGGTGCGTCGGGTGCGATTGATGATGATGCAGTTGCTGATGCGATGGCTGCGACTGGTCCCCGTTTACGCTTTTGTTTAGCCTCTTGTCTTCGCTCATCAGCCTTCTCATCACCTCTGGAATGCGATAGTCTTGCGTCTCCATGCCTGTAAGCGCAAGAGTAGCAAAGTTGGTCGTCTAATCGGAAAGGGAATGCCGTTCGTTAAGAAATACGATTTCGTTGCTTCTTCGCGCCTACGAACATTTGTCGTAATCTCGGATTAGCCTCTGAGAACTGTTTAAGCCACTTAAACGAACTTCCATTCAGAAAGTGGAAAAAGTGTCGCCGACCCGTCGTCGACCAGAACCTGGCTTCTATCGATTTCCGAAGACCTCTACTGGCTCGTAATACACTTTTCGACTTTCGTCTCGGCCCTTGCCCGTGCTAGACTGGTTGCCTGGTCAGCGAATGAAACGGTCTAACGTCTGTCGGAAATAACCCGAATCCCTTGTTCCGACAGACGTACACACCGTTCTTACTTAAGCTACGCACACCCGCCCCGTGCGTCTTCCACCGCGAGCCTTCCACGAGCCTGTCTTCGATTAGCAAAGATCGAGCTATCGTTGTACTTTTCGTCCCCTAAAGCGTTTTTCTCTCACCTTTGAACGGCGCAGCTGCTGCGAGCATCTTTTGTATATACGGACCGATGCTCGCGTGTTCAAGACCTGGCCACTCGGCTCCCGTCTCGTTTCCCCGTTGTAACAACGTTCTCAGCGAATCTCCGCCGCTTCCTTCGAGTGCGGATAACCTGACGAGATCTTCCAAGGACCACAGTGGCTTCAGCAGAGCTTTCTCCACTTCTTTCTCCTCTTCCGCTCCGGACAGTTCTTTGTCGTCCACCTGTTAAGAATATCTCTTTCTAGCCTTCTCTGCACATCTCTTACCGCGCGAAATATTTAAACACGAATCGTTAACAGCGATGTCCCCCTCTCGACGAAAGTCTCGTCCTACTACGTTCTTCTTCATCGAGAAATCGGATAACACTTTCTTGACGACTGTCTGGCTACCAGGATTTCATCGAGAGGCGTTCTTCTGTGTTTGTATGCGTGTGTCTGTGTTGTAACAGTGTCGGTTGTCCATGTAAGTAACTTCTCTTTCGTCAAATGCAGAATGACCAAGCGCCATGCAGGAATTGCCAGAAAGAATTGCTCGCAAGAAGCGTTACGACGTACAGAGAGACAAATGAAAAAAAAGAAAACAAAAAAATGGAAAAGGACAAAGATGAAAAAAAAAAAAAAAAAAAAAAAGGAAAAAAGAAAAGATAGAAACACTTTGGCCAAAGTTGTCCTCGCGATAAAATCGTTTCTCTTTTATCGCTGACCGTTTACCGCGAAAACAGAAAGAGATAGATAGGCAAGGTTGAAAATTGAGAACCAGCTGGAAAATATTTCGCTCTCCGACGAGTAAAAAGAATCCGGCGCTACACACCGATCTCTTATCTCGCAATTATTACTCAAACAACATGCATTCGAATCAAAGGAAAAAAAAAAAAAAAAATGAAAAAGAAAATCTACCACAACTAATCTACCTGCGCTTCTCCTAATGACACCAGGCAGAACGTCGATAAAAAGAAAATTAACGATGGAATATTCGATCGAAGATTCATTTCCCAATGCGTCGTGCATGGTACGAAAGTCAGAGAAATACGGACACGGTTGGAAAATTAATCTTCGCCTGCATGGAACGCGTATCGTTCTCGAAATAATGTTGCCGGGAAAGCCACGCCACTTGTGAGCATGCCTCGCTATTGCAACGCCATGTAGAAACGATACGAACAGGTCTAGAAATACATATCCTGACATTCCCTTGCACCAAAAAATCGACGGCTAGTGCTGAAGCGCGATCGTCCGTACAAACACATCGAGGATGCATAGTGTCGAGGTCGGAAAAAGCGTATACTCGTGACAACGAATTCGAGGGCCCTAGCAGCCCGTCGCGAACAAAAGCTCGCATCCAAGAAGAACTTTCCTCTCGGCTCGAAACGATCGTCCCGAAAACTTACCTCGAGTCTTGCAACCTCGCCAAGACCAAGCGGCCGTGTGTTAAACTACAAATAGTGAGATAAAAAAGTTAAACAGCCCATGCAAAAACATTCGACACTACTGAGCATCACGGCAACCGATAAGGAACCGCGTGAACCGATACATCTTCCAATGGTTGGTCGCTTTCGTTTCCCTCTCTGTCCTCGTCGTTCCTTCCATTTTTTCCCTTTCTTATCTTTTATTCTTTTTCTTTCTTTTTTCTTTGCTTTTTTTACGGTTAAAGTGGAAAAACGACAATATTGCCACTTGCACGCTCTCCGGCGAGATCGGTCCACGCGAATTCTCCGATCACCGTGGCAGAGGTATGTTTTGGGGAAGCCTCCATTCGTTCTTCCTAACCAAAACCACACTTAGGTACAAAATGGGCGGTCTTCCTTCACGAATCAATTATCGAGATTCAACTCGTCTTTTAGTCATATCTTTCTGCGACACCTCCCCTAATCCCCTCCCCCCTTCCCCGATTCTTTTCCGTTATATTTTCTCCTTATCCTTGGATGCGTCATCTTTTGCTCAAGATAAATCGCTTCCAAAGGCATTTCGTCTATCGAGCGTAATCTTTTCTCGCAACGTCCGATAACATATGATTAATGACGGTGGAACGTACATCGAGCCAGAAACGAATTACGCGATATCTTCGAATTAAATATGCACGCGAGTACGCGGAAAAAATGCAAAGTCGAATGGAAGAAGGCGTGGAAACGCTTCGAGGAAACGGAAAAACGTATACGCGTCACGACGAGAGAACGCGCGGTGATTTTTCCATTTCGGTTGAAAGATCGTTCTTTTCGATACGTGCGTCTCTTTCGACCGTCACTGACACGATTATCGGACATTCTATACGGACAAACAATCGAAAACCGTGCGACCATTGTCACCGAGAACGAAACTAGTGCTACACCACCGGTGCCAGAAGAAGCGTGGTTTCGAAGAGATCTACGTACTTGTCCTAGCGATTCTCACTCCGACCCTAGTCACTTTCCACAGTTTCGACTCTCTCTCTCTCTCTCTCTTTCTCTCTCTCTCTCTCTCTCACTCTCCCCCGCTCACGCTCTTTTTCTCCCTTCCCTCTCTCTCCCCCTCTCTCTCTCTCTCTCTCTCTCTCTCTCCCCCGCAGAGTTTCGGCAATCTATTTTTTCATTCTTCGTCTCTCTGCCAATTCTCAATTCTCAATGCTCGATGGCCGAATTGTTAATTCGTCTTATCAGTCCGGACTCGCAATGTTGAATTCTGTCCGAGAACCAATACAGTGGGTGGATACGATCGAACGGGGTGTATCGTATCATCGCTCTTCTTCTCTATCGTCTTTCCCGCACCCTCTCTGCCTCTCACTCCCTCTCTCGCTTTTCGTTTCTCTTTCTCTTGTTCTGTCCCCAAAACCTACCTCATCCACTTGCGGGGGCGGAGTGGTCGCGGAGGCGTTTTGGGTCGTATTTGGTGGTGTTGTAGTTGTAGTTGTAGTAGTAGTGGTGGTGGTGGTGGTGATGGTGGTGGTGGTGGTGGCTGGGGCGCCGGGCTCGTGAGGGTGTGAGTGGGTGCTAGTCAGGGACGCGTCCCTTTCGCGCTCCATCGCAAGCTTGTAGACCTTGTTGCGCAGGGTGCTACGCGGTATTCCGTAGATCACGGCCGCCCTTCGTGTGCCGAGCTTGCCACTCTGGATATCCCTAAGCGCGGCTTGCAGTTCCTCCTCGGTGTAGGCCCTCCGGCCACCCCCGGCACCCACCACGGGGACACCACCGACGCCTGCCGCAGCTGCTGCTGCCGCCGCCACGGCCGCTACCGGCCCGGTCATACGAGGTTTCGCGCGATAGCAAGAACTAAAACATTCCACACATCGTTTATCACATTACCAATTCGCGTTAATATTTATCCTCCGTTATCGCGTTGTTGATGCACCGACCACGCCGATTCGCCGTCGGAATTTCGGCGGGACCGATAACGGTCCCAGGTACGACGGCACCGCGAATCCCTCTTGCTACGCGCAAAGTTACCGGATCAGGTCGGCTGGCTAGTTTTCGTATCACCGATTCACGTGCATAGGTGGTTCATCGGCCACCTTGTATCACCGTTTGTACCTCGCCGGCCACGTGGCCGGTGTGGTACGCGCACGTGTTGTGCACGAGAAGCGAATCGATCCAACAGAGAGTGCCTCGTTAACACTTTGATCTTTGACCTACCGGCTGCATTAGAACGAATTCGTGCTACGAAATTAGACAGCTAACGACGAGAAAGCTCGCTGCCAGCCATTACGCAATTAAAACGTTTCTCGAGGATGATTTATACTCGTCGGTTTTGCTCGGCTTCGTACGCGTCGCAAGCCTCGTCTCGTCGCGTTATTCCCCCGCTCGTGCTATGCATATTCATCGATACCCTTTCTTTCTTCCTTCCATTTTCCTATTTCTTTCCCCCGCTTTCCTTTCCCACCCCCACCCCCTCCCCCCTGCTGCGCCACCATTGCGACTTTCTTTACCGTTTCGTGGAATTAAAAAATCGCGATTCTTATCGCCGATGGTGCTCTGCTCTGGTTGGAAGGATCGAGTAACGCAGAAACGACAGATAGTAATCGGACCGTTATAATTTGTCTCGCTGTTCGACAATAAGATTAATAGGAAGAATTCACGGTAAAAGAACTCCCTGCTACTACTCCTTGTCCGGTGACTGGCAACAACGTGGCCCCCCATGACGAGTTCATCGACCTATTCTCTCTCGGGCAGCAAAGTAAGCTGATAAAAGTGTATTTCGACCGTTCTGTCCCCTCCTAGGCCTCGCAGCAGCACAACGTCGTCGGCTCGTAGCTCGCAGCACCGCCTATCTCTCTTGTCTTTTTATTCCGTATTTCGCGCGATACCTGCTGCACCCGACCGATAATTGTCTTTGCCTCTAATTAGTCCGATTTTTAAGCACGCGACCGAAGCTTAGCAAGAGCCATTCGTTACAAGCGAACAGCGCCGCGTCGCCGGCGTTACCCTCGTTGGTAATTGGTCTTATTTCGAATACGTGGTTGCGCGAAGAGTGGATTAAAATACGAGCGAAAATGACGGGATAAACTTTTGCGCGAGATCCATTGTCACCGAGGTGACGCGCGTCGTCTGGAATTCCCTCGTGTACGAGAAAACATTGTCAACAGGATGGACTCGATTCCCGCGTTCGGTTGATCGTTCGAGCTTCTAATTTCGACTTTACTCGCGTGGTTTCGACGGCGGGCTATCTTATCGTTAATTGCGGTAGCGCGCATGCGCCGACGCGACTCGAGACTCTCTGTCCCGTCTCCTTTTCTCCAGCGTTCCTCTCCGCGTTTTGATCTTTCTCGCGCGACGTACGACACATGCGAGGTACTTTGTGCCTTCGATGTGTCAGGAGGTGCAGATTACGGTGGACTAATAATAGACGACGATAAAAATTTGACGCGCAAAATGTTCCGCGGGGAAAACAGCGAAAACACGAGGGCAACGTACGGACACGCTTCGCAACTTTGACTCCTCCGCGTTATTCGTCTTCTCCCTGTTTTTCCTCCCTTCCTTCCTCCGTTCCTTTCATTCTCGCATTTCCCTTTATTTTCTCCGCGAAACGCGAAACACGAAACACGAAACGCGAAACACGTCGTTACCCCTTACGTTACAGACTGTACGTCTGTCTAAGTCTGCATTTCGACCGGAGAAACGTGGAAATCGAGCAACGACACGGGCACGCCGAAACGCCGAGTGAAAACGTTTCGTCGTTTGACAAACGTTTCGCCGTGCCATCGCCGTGCCATCGCCGTGGTTACCACGTACCAAGAGAGCGCATCGATTTTAGCTGGAATTTTTAGCAAGGATCTTCCGATTTCTCTTCCGTTCATCTTCGATTAACTTTCACGGCCGATTCGGGCGCGCAAAGTTTCTCCTTGCAATTTTCGAGTTACCCTTTGGAACGGACGCGATGTTAGACCCGATAGCCACGAGGTTTCGTACGAAACCGATACGAAACATACTTGTACGCCACGCCACTAACGCTACCAGCATTTTCGTCCGACAAACCGGCAAATCCGTGCGTCGAATTCTATCGCAGAGATTAATACGCGGATAACGTACTTCTCGACGATTCGGCGCGGGTATATCTAGACAAACCGACGGGAAATGTAACGCAGACTTTTCTGCGGATTTTCGTAACGAGTAGCTCGGAAGCGATAGGATGCTCGAGGGAAAATTTCCGAATACGCAAACAACGTAGCGGGAAACTTTTTAATTACCGGTTCGTACGTAGCCACCCCGCGAATTCGAACGTATAGCGCGAATTCTATTTAACGACGCAACTTCCACGCGATATAAAAGTATCCAAGGCACGTTGAACGATTGGGACAGTAGCTCTGCGCCGCGAAACGATCGCAGAGTACAATCACCCTCCGGTTGGCAGCGCGTTGTCCATTAAATCGTCGTTCGAACACGAATCTATTCTCGATCCTTTGGAATACGCGGCACGGAATGCGATCAACACTTTCCTTTGCTCGCGCGGAATGCAAATACCTATATCAGAGGTAGCTTCGTTTCGCTACGAGGTGTAAAACGAGCCGCGTGATAACACTGGCACGAATCGACGCGCTTCTCGTTCTGGTTACCAAGCATCGCGGACGAATTTCAACTCGCGAGTATACGGGGGCAAGAGGATTTTCAGACATCGCGACAGCGTGGATAACAATCGGAGAGCCGGGGATCGCGATCGGTATCAGATCGGTGCATCACGGAAACGTGAAATCGTCTGCTGAGAGCGAGGTTGTTGTTTCATCGTAGGAAAAAAGAAAACTACTTACTTAAAGATACTCTTGGGGTCGATACCTGCTGTCACCCTCAGAGGTATTTTCTGTTGTTCCAATAGAGATATGTTGTTATCCTGCGACAGAAAGCACACCCATATCACTTGACGATATCTTCGCGTACGTGTCAGTGGTTGCGGTAAAAATAAAGGTAAACGTAAAGGTAAACGTCATTGTAAAACGTGTAAACGTAAACGTGAGCGTGAACGTGAACGTGAACTTAAAAGTATGTGTTGCAAAATGACGAAAACTACTCTGGATAACTCTCTGTTCACGTTTATCCACGCAAGGAGAAGGAGACGAATCTACCCACGCCAGAAGGAGCACGTACCTGAGAATTTTTGGGTTTGGCCGAGAGGTCGAGAGGTTGGTCGGCCGACGTTGCACTGTCCTGATGAGGCTGCACCCCAACTAGAGGCGCCTCCCTTGGTGGTAGACACCATTGAGGCAGTAAGGTGGGGTAGGTACCGCTGAGAGCCGCGGCGACTACGGACGCCGCCATCGGGTCCACCTGGACCGACATCGGTGACTCGGCCGATCGCGAGCTGCTGCTACTGTCGCTCTGCGGACTCTGCAGGACGCGACATCGAACGTTATGTTCGTCCGGCTCGTCATTGGTCGACGAAACACACGGAAAGGAACTGATTACCACCGGCGTGGGAGGGAAGAAACGATCATGGAAAAAGGAGCATCCTCGTCGACGAGGAGGACAAATCGAATCCTGATCAAATTCGCTTTTCGCGCGAGGTACGCCAGGAATACGGGCCACCTTCGTGAAACTTTTATAAGGGCGACGCGTCAAAGCGATCAAAGCCACGGACAGGATGCGAAGGCGAGAAGTACCTCGCGCGAAATAATAAAAAATTGAACGTTTCCTAGTGTCCTGCGCGACACGCCGGAGGACCGATGTCGCCGTATCATCGTAACACAGCGTTGTCCTTTCCGCGCGATTATTAATTATGCGCTCTGAAGATTTCCGCCACGGCTAATGTAATTTCGCCTACGGTACGCTTAGGAATCGCGTCACGATCGCATCCGAATAACCATCGCGGATTAATCGATCCTTCGCTCGAAATTATTCTCGATCGATGGTAAAAATCGGTTTCGTGACACATCGTGATCGTGATCGTGATGCTACCGACGCTATCCTGCTCTAGCTATGCTACCAGAAGCATACTTACGAGGGGTGGTTGATCATCGTGCGGTAGCTTGCCGTCCAGGCAAAAGTAACACTTGTCTAGCGGCTTCCAGTCTTCTGGCGGTGGGCTGTTGCGTCGGCTGCCAATGAGAAACGGTGCTACCGTGTTCCTAGCGGCCGCTTCAACCTCCCGACACGGCAACCCTGACCTGGTCCCATCCGAATCCGACGCCGGTGTCGTCAATATCGTTGGACCGCCTCCAGAACTCGGCACTTCTTGCAACTCCTCCTCCTTCTTTACTCTTAACAATCCCTGCGTCACCGGTGTCCGCTCCAACGCGACTTCTTCCGTTCGTTCCTGCAAAAGAAACGGGTTCATCGGTTACATCGACTATTCGCCGTCTGCCTGTTACTCCAACCTAACGATACGACTCGGCCAGCGAATCGAGAAAAACTAGATCGAACCTTGGTCCCTTCCGTATCGGTAGCGTTGGCAGTCGGATAATCTCGAGATCCTCGATCCTTCTCCCTCCTCAAGGGGCTGATGGGCCTGTCGACGTCTTCGTCGAGCTTCAGCCGTTTCTCCACCTCGCTCTGGCCCCCTCCTCCTCTTCCCTCCTCCTCTTCCTCGTTCTCTTCGTCGTCCTCTCTGTCGTCGGTAGCCTCTCCGTCGTTTTGCCGTCGTTTGCGTCGTCGCCTGGTCGGAATCGTGGTGGTACCCGTGGTCATGGCAGCCGCGATATTCGGCGTCGCGATACTCGTCGCGATCGTACCGCTCGCGGTGCTGGTGCTCGCGAGGTTGCTCGTTCCCGGTGTCGTCGTCGTCGACGTCGTCGTTGTGGCCGCAGTCACCGTAGTCGTCGTCGTCGTCGTCGTCGTCGTCGACGTGTCCGGAGCCGATTCCTCCCGAGCGACACCGTTCGCGAACTCGTCCTCCGCGACCTCGACCTTGATCTCGTCCGGCCTGAGACGGCGTTCTTCTTGTTGCCGTTGTTGTTGTTGTTGCTGTTGCTGTTGCTGTTGCTGTTGCTGCTGTTGCTGCTGTCGTTGCTGTTGCTGTTGATAGTGACGATGGTGATGATCTTGAACGGAGGACTGAAGATGATGGTGATTTTGCAGGTGATGCCTCTGCAGGCTTTCCTGCTTGATCAGGCCCGTAGTCGTGGTCGTGGTCGTGGTGGTGGTCGTGGCCGCCGTGGTCGTTGCCGCTGTCGTCGAGGTCGTTGCCGGTAACACCGTCGTTGTGGTGGTTATCGTTGTAGGTAACGAGGAGGACACAGGATGAAGCGGACGCGACCCAATTTGTTCCAGGTTCCCGGGCACCGGGTCGCAGGACGACGAGAACGCCGTGTATAGCCGGTGGTGGGGCTGTGCCGTCACTGATTCGCTGCTGCGAGTACCGCTGTACAGGGTGTCCTGATATTGCTTCCATCTCCTACGGCCCATCAACTCCTCCGCTACCCGTTCCAGACCTGCGACACCACCGCAACTACATCAAACAATGATGAGCGCCACTCGCTCGTAAACCCCTGTGCAACCACTTTTCTCCAACCATCCACTGTCCGCGACCGACTCGGTTTCCCCTTATCGTCGCGCCGATGGTATTCGTCTTGGAAACGCACCAGACTACCCCGCCGTTTAAAACGCGGCCCGCAAAGTCGTCGAAAGGGCAACGATAAACCGATACACCGTTACGACAGAGAAAACGAAACGAAACGAAACGAAACGGCGAAACAGAGTTGGTGGAAAAGGCGAGAAACTCGCGTGGATATAAAGATCCGTTAACCGCGATAACTCCTAAGCACGGTAACGTAGACCGATGTCGGAATCACCAAAATCGCATGCTCGAGAAACCGACCGGACGTGGTGGTTTTTTTGAAGGACACGGCGGTAACACGCACGTCCCAGTATCTGACACAGAGTGTCGTAACGAAGAAAATTGCGGCACATCAAAAGTGCCGGTGCAACGCGAACGCGCGTTTAGTAATATTTCCTCTTTTCTTTTTTCGCCGATCGTTCTCTATCGTTTGCATCGCTCCAACTCCCTGCCCATAACGATGCTTCGCGAGCTGCCTTGGAAATATTCCATAAAAGGCGTAATATTTTTTCCATCTTTCGATCGTTCTACGTAATTCGTTGCACTCCCCACAGCGGCTAACGATAGACGCGAATGATAACGGAATTTTTTCGCTTCCTTATCCAAAGGCCGAATAGTCGAGCGTTATCGTAGAGCGACATGACGTACCTCACTGACGGCAATACAGCGGCGAAAGGTTCCACGAAAGCCAAGATTCATGCGTTCATACGGACGTATCGAGTCGTCCTCCGCAATTTTTAATGCACCGCTTGCGACCAATATTAATTCTCAAAATAAATATCCAACGGAAACGTGAAATATAGAGTTCCAATGTAAATTCAACCGCGTTTATTTTTCCCTCGCGATCGATATGATGAAACTGCCGACAATCCTATTTCCAAGTGTAACGAATAAACGCGTGACAACGTGAAATGCGCGCGACCAATTGGACCAGTGGCTGAAAAAATTCACCCGATCTTCACCGGGCACGGTGTCGAAAATTCCCCACACCTCACCCTTCCACGCGTTCCCCGTTCCTCCACCGATGCCGCTCGAATTGGGCCGCAATCGCGTCTCTTCCTACAGTCCCACTTTGAATGCGTCAATTGATTCTAAACAGACACCCGGTACGGTGGCACGCGTCCCGCAAATGCACCATAACTGTCACGTCATTTGGTCGTCGCGTGTGCCACGAGCACATGCCAACCGATGAATGTACGTAAATATATTTGCATGTGTAGGTAGAATTCGCGTGCGCACGAAGATCGAGCGTGGAGGCGATTTTTCATGGCTGCCGCCTTTATTTCTCACCGAATTGATTTCGTCGTCGTCGAAACCAGCATAGGACAGTCGTGCCGATTCCGCTTAAATCCTTTCGCGCAACATCGCGAAATTTCCCCATCCTCAGATATGTCACCGCGACTTCTCCTACCGATTCTGCGCGCACTCCTCAAATTCCCGCCTTTCGGTCCCGCCTCTACCGGACCTCTCTCGTTTCCGTTCCCTTGCCGGGAACCTCACACACTCGGGGTGCCCTCCGGTAACGCGCGGGTATACGAAAGAAAATGAAAAAGGTAGGAAGGAAAAAATGGAAAAATATACGAAGGATACGCGTTCGGTGAATATTGATCGGTAAGGTTGAATTAAATGCTCGCTAGGCTGAAAAAGGAGCGCGCGCAATGAAAAACATCTGAATAAATTATTATTGTTTGTCGAACGTTTCGAACGAATAGCGACGCCCCCATCGTGGTAGCCCATCGTCGTTTGTACGGCCATTATTTAAACGCTCTAGTTCCACGCAGCTTATCAAATACAGGTATAATGCCAGTTTGCGGAAACGCGAACTGGATCTGCGCCGAGCGTCGCCACTGCGACATATCTGCTTGCACGCGCTGCTGTCAGAAAAACGTATGACAAGCATTACGGTCAGGGCTGAGTTTATACAGGCGGACTTTAAACGGAGTTCCAGCAAAACGCGTTATTTTTGAACGGATAGGCCTATTTCGTAATCGACTTCGGCCACGAGTATCGCATTCCTAAATCTTGATTGCGTATCGCTGGTCATCGTGCATCGTGCAACCCACGACTACGACAAGTAGGCGTTCACGCTATTCCTACAAATTCGACGTTACTTTCTTACCGCTACACGCACACACGCACACACACACACGCACACACACACACAGAGGCACGCACACACTCGCGCCCATTCGTTTCGTTTTTCAAGCAAGCCAATAACGTGACTAACGTATTTCGTGCTAACATTTAGCCGTTCGTAGATATTAATAATGCATCGATAAGGAGAACGCGAATTACACAAGTTAACGCAATCATCGTAAACGCACTAATCGACGTATTTAGAAAACCTCGAACTTCTTCGTAATCGAACCGGGCATGCATCGAGAGAACCACAACAATTATACGAATCATCATCTCGCGAGAACGTGCGGACCTCAAGGCTACGTAATGAGTCATGAAAATCTGTCCAGAATAAGGCGATCGTTGCACGAAAATTTTTTTCTACGTTAAATTTAGCCTCGTTCCTCGATGACGTCAAATCCAACTCATCTACTGCTGCGAAAGAACAAAAGAAACGCGTTCGTATGGTAGAGCGCGCGGCCAAGAACAAGGGAAAAGTCCGCGATGTAAAATTTTCTTTGTAGGTACGCGCATGCATACACCCGTAGGTAGGTAGGTAGGTAGGTAGGTAGGTAGGTAGGTAGGACTCGAGAACAGGCTCAAGGATGTTTCAATTTTACGATACCCGTACGATAAACGGCAATTAGACGGGGGGGAATAAAAATGGAAGGATAGGATCGAGAATCGAGCGGGATTATTTGGATTTGGAAGTGCGGCGTAGATTGGAAACAGAGGGAAAAACAATCGTTCCGGAATTAATCATACCGCTCGGCAGTCGACGTACTTTCGATGGCGAATGCCAGAGTCAAGATTCCCCCCTTTTCTTCGAAAGGTTTGATTAACCCCCGTCCAAGTATACCTCCGTCGTGTGTCTACCGGTTACAGCATCGTCGACCTTGCATATAATCAATGGGTTCTGAGAGAATAATCTGGTAGGAAAGCAGTAATCGCGCTTTTTCCTCTCGCTAACTTCTTCGCCGAGTGGGCGGCGAAACACGGGATCCGGATTTCCAAATGAATGAACGTATCCAGCAGAATGCAACGGTATAGGCAACCGAGTGAAGAAAGAGAAACACAGAGCTCGGGACGGAACACGTCTTTTGCAAGACGTTTTCTAATGACGTAAACTGCGTCGAACCGAAAAAGGGTGAATTTATCTCGTCATTCGTAATGTCCGAGGCAGACTTTTCAATGTCGCCGGGAGTACCGGTTCGCGAGCGGAGCGGAGCGGAGAGGCGCGGAGCGGAGTGCAGAGTAGCGTGGATAAAAACGGACGCGTGGAAAATTCGTATTGTCGGTTTTCGATCGTTTCCAATCTCCGTGACTTGACATTTTTCACGGATGGTTGCTCGAAAGAACGCTCTCGCACCTCGTTGGATATTCACGGCGAGCAAAGTTCGAGTCCTTGATCGATTGCAGAAGTAATTAGACGGCTGGCGCGCCTTTGGATGAAATTCCAGGCAGGAGGTGCCGAACCAATCTTATCTCGCGTGCCATTTAAGAAGAGGAAGAAGTAGGGCAGATGACCACGCCCGGGATTAAGCCAATGATGACGCGCAGACTTGGCACCAGGAACTTCTCTCCGGTGTATAAAACGATTATCCCTACCTCGCTTAACATTTCGTCGCGATTAAACGTAGCCGTGCGTCGAAGAATCTGAAAAATTCAATTCCACTTTAACGGGTTACCGTCGGGTACCGTAAAGTACTCCAAAAATTTCCGCCGCACTCGGGAGAATTTCGTAATGGGAAAGAAATGGAATTTCCGTCGTGGAATCGAAACACATCGCATCGAGTAGAATCAAAGAAAGCGGAGCATGTTGTCCGGGATAATAACAAATGGAATCGCGTTGGAGAAGAATTTCCGGTAGTTCCTGATCCAGCGATCGCGTTGGTCGTTGTCTTGATAAATGGTGAATCAAAATGAGGAAGATTCGAGAACGAAGGAGAATCTACTTTCCACGGGCGTCCTCCGTGAGCCGAGGATATAGCGGCACCATTCTTCAATTCTAAATCGAATGGCCTCGGGGCCCATCCAACCAATGGCGGAGCCGCAATTTTAGATCCAAGCGCGCGCGCTATATTTCCCCCACAGTCCTGCGTCTTGGTGCTATTCCCTTGGTCCCGTCACTAATCGTCGGCCCGTTTCGACCAATGGCAATCCGGTTTAGACGAGAGTAGAAGGTTAGGAAATGGGTGGTCGGGTATGGTGGGGCTGCAGCTGGCTCTCACGACGCACAAGGCTATCCTTTGTCCGAAACTCGCTTGCGATTCGCCGGCGCTGTTAAACCTTCGGCACGATAATAACGAAATAATTGCGATAACGACCCCGGTGCCAGACAGCACCTTTGCTTCCGACCGAGATCCCTCTTTATTTTACCCACCGAATTTCCTCGCTCCCAATTTGCCCGCGCCAAATTCCCCAATCGGTCCCCGATATCACGGCAAAAGGAGCCCGTCGTCGTCGTCGTCGTCGTGTGGCACAACGCCGATAAACCAAATTCCCATCGAGTATACATCGTACGCGTACCGCGAATGCGAAAAACACCGAGATCTACTTACCGTTACGGTGTAAGTAGCTCGACAAACGCTCTCGCGAGTGCGCTCGTAGCGGTAATAAAGAGCATTCATAAAGAACGGTTACGTTTAATGCGATCTTGGTCGATAGGCTTAATTGCAACGATTCGAGTGTCTTTCGACGGTTCGAAGACTCGTTCGTAACACTAGGTAAAAATATTCTTGGTCGCCTACTCGAGAG